AAGTATAAAAAACGAAATAATATGTGTAAATAACTTCTCAATACTCAATGTAATAACTAGGTACACTTTTACTTAGATTTTTTCTTGACTATAAACTATAATTATTTATTACGTGTAAATGTGTAACCTAACCAGTAATTGTTTAGTGGTCATATTAAATATCATGACTCGTAATAATAATTATGTTACAGAAACGCCAGCATTGTGTAATATGTCTTATGTGTAGGTACATGTATGCAATGTGTAGTTAACTTTAAGAAGGAGATAGTATATGAGTTTAACACTATAATAGATAGTAGAATATGTATCCTGCAGTATTCATATTATTCGTATATACCTACAACAGGCCATGTAGGGAAAAATAATAATAGGTAATACTTACCAAGACTGAATGTTAAAAAGTTAAAATTTAAGTATTTCTATATGGAAACATTGTATAGCCGTATATAGGTATAGGAACTCACTAAGTTATTAGAATGTATTACTTATACAGTTATTCCTATATTTTATACATTAAATTGTTGTAATTCTTAGTATCTTCACCTATTAATATAGCTAACGTCAAATAAGTAAATCGAACTTTAAATTAAATAATGATTAAAATTCAATTTTCAAAGCTGACATTGATAAAATCGACTTATTTTACCAATATTTTATATTAACTATGTAGCTATAATATGTACCTACCTAATAAATATACGAGTTTACATATATCATTGTTCACATTACTTACTCATATTATTGTAGATATATCGTACTGGCTCTGAATAAGTCACTGTAATGTATTTGATTTCAATGATAAATCAAAAAAGATTCTGAGCCAAGACGTTCTGTTGACCTACATAAATAGATGTTGTACTATTGTTATTTTTTGATTTTAGTATGAGCTACTTACTTAATTATGAACCTTGTATGAAAATTTTAATCTTTTTGACCAAACAAAAAATTTGTGTGCCCATATATAGCTCAAAAAGAGTCAAAATATTTTTTAAACATATCATGTATGGTAACTGTTAATACAAACACTTGGTGTAGATTTCCAGACTGTCCCGTAGATACGCCCTACGGACTATGAATATATTCTTTTTTTAATTATAGCAAAATTAAAAAAACCTTTTGTTGCTTTGACAAAAAGCCATTTTTGAAGCGTCAAATCCAATTTTGTCAAATATTCAACTGCATGGATAAACAAAGATTATATCCAGCTCGTAAAAAATACTTATAGAATTATTATACTCAACTTTTATTTTTTTCTAGTAATGGCAACTTATTAGGAACTTGTATCTATTCATTATTAAAATCTTAAGTATAAGTATTAAAAATTTTATGGAGTGTGACCACAAAATAATTTGATACTTTTTATGATTTAAAAAATATCATCTAAGTTATAACTTTAAAAACTTTAAAAAAAATGAGGAAAGGATCTTTGAATTTTCAATATTTTTTATTTGGTGTATGAAAAACTTATGAGTAACATTTCAAGGTTTTTTTTTTATCAAAAATGTTAAATGATTAAAGCCGAAAAATATTTTTGTAAATAATTATATTATTTAATGAACATGTTATTATAAATATAATACTTTGTTAAAAAGCTCGAGTGAATACGGATATTCAATTTTTAGTTACACTAAAAAATAATAATTGATTGTTTCGATAACTGTAGGTCAAAATTCCAGTTTTTCCTCAACTCTTTTTTGTTTTTACGATTATTTTGAAAAATACTTTGAATTTATAACTAGATCCAATTTGATACCATAAACCACCCTCAAAGTAGAAAATACTCAAAAGCAATTTGACTGCTTTTAGAGGCATCTAACCTAACTGACATTGGTCGCAAGAAATAGTAATCCCCCAAAACACCTTGCACATCATGTAAAATTTAATTAATTATAAATTGTCATTAATATGATTTAAAACCTTATGAATATCACCAAATGGCCATTGTTTTCGCTGGTTTAATTGACAAAAAAAAAATCTCATGAATATCTCATGGTTGAAATGTTCAAATACATTATATTGCGGAATTTTTATTTCATGAAATTGAAAATTATATTTTATAACACATAAACAATGTGTCTTCTATTAATTTAAACAAATATAATTTACTATAATTATATAGTACGATGTATCTATAAGATAAAGTGCATACAAATATTAAATAGGTTGTCGGTATGTAAGTATATTAATAAATTTATAAAATTCAAAAATGTTTTGATTATTCTGCTTGTTAGTTCATTATTTTCTAATATTTTGGTCACTCAGTAAAATTGAGAAAAACCAGCGGCCAGCAACCTGCTACTTAGTGTTTCTTAGTACAACATAATATGTACTCTTTGGTAGTAGGCAGTAGTGCCAGTGTTACATTTTCATCTCACCCATTTACAAGGGCCATATTATGTAGGTACACGTCGCATAAAATGCCTATTGCCTATACGTCATATACCTAGGTCTTTTAAATCACTCAATGGTTCTGCCCGCTAAATCAAAAATAAACAATCCATCAAATTTTATTGGTAACACCATTGTTACTCTAAATTAACATACTTTGTTAGGAATGATAAGTTAAAAACAAGGAACATTCTGAACTCGAAAACAGTTTTTGCCTTACTGGAGTAAAACAGTTGAAATATAATTCACTTGCGCTATCTATTAACAAAATAAAGCGCGACTTTAAAATTGTTCTCAATTTTCTACCGCCACAAAATATTTCAAAGATTTTCAATGTCAGAGAAAAGACTGAACTATTTATCAACGATGTACATCAAATTTAACTAAAGATGTTCTTTGAAAATTTTCCATTTTCCATTTTCAATTTCCTAAAATAATATACAACTCAAAAAATGGTAGGCATAAGTAGTTTATTTAGACTTCCATATCATCAGTTAATATTTTAATAATATTTTTCTTTTTAAGGTGTTAATAAAACATTTTTGGTTCTGCTAAAATGCTTCAAAATGTAATACTTGATTCCTCATAAGTCATATTTTTTTTGATTTCGAAAGCTTCAAATTGTTTATTGAAAATGCATTTCAGTTTTAATTTTTAAAAACTAAAGCTTGACAATTTAATAGAGTTCAAATGTTGTCAAACTTTGATATTTTAAACAAAAAATAATAGTTTAGGTTATTTTGTTGTCATTAAAAAAAATATTATTCTTAAGGGCTTGAAACATTTTGCTTTTACATATGTATTATTTGCCACACACCAAGGATTTTTAATCTTTTTGAGACCACAGCTTTTCCGATTTCGAAAACATTAGTGTTTATTTTATTAACCATAGCTGCTAGTCTGCTACTTCCTTGATAATAATCAGAAACAATAGTGAAAGCTGCAACACACGAGTTGAAAACTCCTAATATACATAATGAAAAATCCTTTCTTAGTGAACCGTGAAATTATTATAATATTAATCTATCTTTAAAATTGCATGTCAATAACTCTAATAGGTTCGGCTCTGTGTTGATTATGAATCATGAGGACACTTTCCCTTTGTATGTATAGTTATAGATTAGTTAGTAATATTATATGAAATCATATAAACATACTACATACCTATCATAAAAAGCCACCGTATTCCTAAAAAAAAATAAATTACCTACTACTAGTATTGTATTAAATATTTATCATAAAATATCCTTAGAAGTACTGACTAACAGAACATCTTAGCTCAGAATTATTTTTTTAAGGAATGATTTATCTTTGAATTTAAATTTAAATTTAACAAATATATCAGTGACATATTCAATAAAGATGACTCAAAACCTAATATACAGGCATGCAGCACAGAGACTTTTCCAGTTTTCTATATATCTAGGTACCATGTTTTTTGCTTCAGCTAGATTTTCGTTTAAACTTATACAACTAAGAAAAATCAATGATTATAATTAAAAGTAATCATGCAATAATAATAAGTTAAGTACATTTGGAAGACAAATTAAAACATATGATATTAGAGGTCGAAAAAAAAATTGTGCAATTATTGTAACTGTGCCTTATGCACAACAGTGCAAGGCTTAGTTAGATTTCTTGGTGTCATTTATGTTCAATACTCTAAATGTAATCTTTATATTTTTTTTAAAAAATTAAGGAATATGTTCTGTAGGTTAAAAATACTTAGTTATCCCTATATAAAAACCTTATTCAATAAAAATTGTATTGCACAATCTGTATAATATATTAATATACCATCAACATTTGTGTTTGGGGTGATACTTTTGAAAACATTTAAAATACTGTATCTATATTAAATTTAACAATGTATTAACATCATTAACTAACATAAGCAAATATAACATCGAATTTGGAAAAAGAGATGCTATTAATTTATGTCAGTTATATTAACCTTAATAACACATAATGAACAAAATCTTTTGTGACTTATGATCATTAAATATAAATAAAAAGTAGAGGTGTGTTATAAAAAGGAATTAGGTAACTATTATTTATAAGGTATAAAATGCATTAGCTATATTAGGTTAAGCTATACAAATATTACAAATTATAATTATAATAAAATAATCATAATTACAATTATATTGTATATATTGTATTATATTATATGTTTATTTTGTACGACATATAGGCATATAGGCATATAGCTCCATATGCCTCTATCTAGGGGATGTACATGAGGAGTAGTATTGTTCATATAGAGCCTCCTCTGCTGTCGGTTAAACGAAAAAAAAAAGTAAAAGAGTATTTGCATGATTGGTCATAACCATAGAAAATATATACCACAGATATATAAACGTATATATGTATAAGTATAACGTATACATGTATAACGTATATATTATGTATGTTTATATATCTGTGGTCATAACTTGGATGAGGGGCACACCATAGGCAACTTATCGAACGAATTGGCCACGGCTAATATGTGGAATTCCGTATCTATGGCTGGTACAGTTGCCAACTTCACACACGTTAATATTTATTATTTGACAACAACATATTTATCAATGTTATGAAAATATAAACATTCACCTCTTAGATAAGAGAATTTCGGTCATTTCGTCGGTTTCAAAATTATTTCCAAGTTTTCAAGACGGCTATCTACTATTTTTCATAAAATATTATCTGTGGTTCATTATCTATTTTACCGCTGTAATCATTTATCAGTAATCACAAATTAAAATATTCTCTGCTTTTGAAATTTTGAATGTTTCGTAATGGCTAGTTATTGGCTAACTGAATTGTTTTTTTACTATACAAATCTTTAAGTTGTTACCTTCATAGTTTATGCAGATTACTTATTGACTCTAATTTTGTTTTTCGTAGATTTACTTAATCAGTTGTAATTTTTTCAAAACCTATTGTAAATGTATAAATAAATTTGACATTTTACAATGCATTCGGTGGATGATCGAAATGTCTGGATTAATAATATTATTGATAATCCTAATATTCGATATGATACTAAACGTAAAAAATTAAAGAAGGTTATTAAAGATATGGTTTTTGTAAGTATGCTCAATCTCATCGTTAACCCGTCGTTAGTCGTCCTATGGTCCAGACAACAGAAATTTATTTACATCTTCTAGGTATTGAACATATATTTTCACACCTATCTATTTGAGTTAACATACCTTCAACCAAGGTCATTATAATTGATTAAATATATTTAGAAATTTATTTTTAAATTATTTTGGTCATCGTCTAATGTTACACTTCTAATCGAGTTTATAAAACTTACTATCTACATTAAATTATTTTTTTCATTAAGTTTTTTCAAATATGATTACGGTTGGCCATTTTAGTTGCAGCTAACGACTTGTATACTGCTAAACGATTAACGACGGATTAATGACCTTCTTAATTAGTTCTAAATTAATTCTTTTGTGCTTAAATTAAATATAATATGTATGTTACGGGAAAACTAGGACATGTTCAAACCTTTTTTTCCTACTTTGCACAGGAATAGTGGGGAAGTGCTTGGCAGAATTAACTTTGTTCTAAATTTTGTGAAAAATTTGTATTGAGACATGTCTATTCAATGGTGAAATTATATAGGTACAGGCGCGTCCCCAAGGATTAACAATTTTTAATGTCTAAAATTACCCTCATTGTTATCAAAATAATAATGATCAAAATTTTAATTTATATGTTTGTCCCCTCTCCTTGAAACCTGTCTAGGGACTCCCCAATTCAGGTATTATATAATGTATAGGTATTAAGTCATTTTATTACAAAAATGTATTTGCTTAAAACTCAAAAATGTAAACAATTTTAATAACTGTTACACAAAATTTCCTTATAAATAATAATTTAATAAAATTTATAAATGTTCGACAAACTTATCGTGATTTGTAAAATGACTTTAAATTATGAAATATTATGCTGTATAAAAAAAATATAAAAATCAATTGTCTTAATTAATGATTAAATGTTTATAAAAACTCTGAAAATGAGATAATATTGTGAATTAAAAATAAATATTTTCCAGATTTAACTACTAAAATTGTTAATTGCACACTATGATTAGGTACTATGTTTTTATTATGAAGACTAATTTCATCCTTTGCCTGTAACATATATATATTCACACTAGTGTAGGTAAATAAGATAAAGACTTAAAAGTATTTATATATTTAGTACAACTTCTTTTTTGTGCCTTTTATTTTCGATTTCATTTTTAAACAAGTGTGTCAAGTAGCTGAAACATAAATACTTTTTATTTAATGATAATTGCTTTACAAATTAATTTAAGGAAAATGCTGCCATTTGTGATGAAATATCGCGAAATCAAGAAAAATTATTAGTTGTCCGAGAAGAATGCAAGTTTTTAACCAAAAAGTTAAAGATATTTGAACCTGAATTAGGTAATTAAATCTTAATCGTATTAACCATGTTACAAGTACAAGTATGTACACTCAAAATCATTGAATTCATTAGCATATTTACACTTAGGCCACATAGGCGTAATCATTTTGTAGATACAATGTTGAGTACAATTAAATTGGTACCTCATCTAAAAAATGGTGTTATAGTTATAATTAGGGACAACTAACTCTTAAGTCCGGCCCTGATCAAATGTATCATTAAAAGACTTAAAAGCTCCTAATTGATATTTGTTGAATAGGTAATGTTAAAATATTAAAAAAATACATAAGTGATTAGTGTTTGTTCTGTTGTAATAGCTAAAAATTATACCTAAATATAAAAAATAACAATTAATTGCCATAATATAGATGTGTTATCTGATATTTCTCGTTTAAATGAAAAGTTTGGTAAATGTATCTTCACTTTTTAACTTTATAAGTTACTGTTATGTCTTTATTAACTTGACTTAATTTTAAAAATATCAACTTATTAAAAAAATAATTTAATAAGTTTATAAAATAGTGTTTTATACATTTTTAATGATATACTTTTATTAGTAAATGTTTTTATTATTAAATTTACCTTTTATATAAAATTAAGTTAATTATTTTTTTTTTTTGATTTTCTAATTCAAACAAATTTATCACTTGAAATCCGAGTGTGATATTTAATGAACAAAATCACGTATAAATAATTGTGCGATTCCTTTTGATTTAGGTAGTCTTATCAATTATAAAGTAACAATCTTACACCTATAATATTTATTTTCAGATGTTCCTATTACCACAACCACTGTAAAAAAAGCAACTCCAAGAAAAAAACCAACTACCAATGGTGTGTATTTTTTAATCTATTAATATTAAAAATATATATATTTGATTTTATATAATGTAAATAACATTCAGTTGCATACTTTAATCTGTATTGTATAAAGATTCTTCACTATCATACAAATGTCTAAAAAATAAAAAATAAATGCCATACCTCATGGTGTACCATAGATTTCAATAAGAATATAAGTCAGTTCATGTTACTTTTTTATATTACTAGACTATAATCTATTAACTTGTAGTTAGTACTGATCCAAAAATTCAAATTTTTCACAAAAGGTTATCAATGTTTATTTACAGGTGTAACACCTAAGCCAAGACGCCCTGCTGCTAAACATAAAAAAAATATTATTGAAGTCCAAGAACCAATAACTAGTGGAAATGTTACTATTTTCAATTTTGGAGAAGTGAGTTTAGCCTATAATTTTCCAAATAAATTAATCCAAACTTTCTAGATAATACTGGTGACTATACCCTGTTCAAGTTAAGAAACATTGTCGTAGGTCAACTTGTGAACCCAGGCATGGCAACAATAGACGGCAGGTATACAGATAATTGACTTGGGGATAGGGAGGAGGGATGACAAAAGAGTGTGGCCTAACTGCAGCTCAACCAAAACTAGTCGCCACCGACTATGTTTCTTAACTTAAATAGAATATACATACCGACACTAAAATATTAATTAATTACTTTTATGATAAATGTTTTTCATAATAATTGTGTTATTTATCTAAAAAAAATGTATTAATTATTTCAGATTGTATATGATACACCTTTTTACTATTCAGACTGTGCAATATATCCAGCTGGATTTTATGCAACTAGAACTTATGCTCATTTCAGAAATATATTTTCTAAATGCACTTATCACTGTAAAGTTATAAAAGCTGGTTCATCTCCAAGGTTAATAACATTTTTTTTTTATTGTCTATGTAATATCTTGTTAATTGTGAGTATTTTGTTTTCTTAATTTAGATTTGAAATCATGGATCATGATAAACATTTCAAAGTAACTGGTTTGAGTACTGATGAATGCCATAGTCATCTTATATCATTAATTAATAAATTGCTGGGTGCTGATGACTTAATACCTGCCAATAGAAATGGTGATAGATTTTTTGGATTGACCTTACCTCCAGTCCGCATGAAACTACAAGAAGCACCAGAATCTAAATTTTGTACGGGATACATTCCATTAGAATTACAGGTATTTTATTTATATTTTAACATGCACAAAAACACTATATTTGATAGAATTTTCTAAGAAAAATATAAGAAACCGTGTGTATATATTTTTCTTATTTGTGAGTGGTAATTGTGTAATTTGTTCTACACTTATATTTTTATTTTTAATTAACTACAGAAACGTTACGACATGATAAAGAATTAAAACATCTACATTGTATGCAAGGATTATGGATAATACAGGTTGTCTCATTCTAAGATTTTGAAAAAGTAGGAGTGAGAGATAATTCGATTGACGTCATTTTCGTACACTCGTAAGACGACTCGTTCACTCGTAGTTTGTACACACAACACATCTTGTTTATAGACTTATAGTTTATATTTTATTTTTTATTTTTTTTATTAAGAAGAAAAGCCTCGATAACGTGACCATTGACTTGTTTTTACATATAATGATAACTTAAATTAGATTGTACAGTTCAGTATCTTTCAAAAATAAAATTATATTTTGGATGGATTTTTCGTCAGGGCCCAGGTTAGGTTAGATGAAGGTGTTCCGGCATATTGAATTTTTGTCGTGCCTCTTTTGTGTCTCTGCATTCGGTGATAATATGTTTGATTGTAGTTGTAATTCCGCATGTAAGGCATATTTTTGGTGGCTCTTTTTTCATGAGGTGGCTATGTGTGTGATGCGTATGGCCTATTCTGGGGCAATTTAGTACGACTTCCTCTCTTCTTTTGAGCGACATAAAGTTATTCCATTTTTCGATAGTTCTTTTTATCTCATTTAATTTATTATTCATTTTAAGCCATTCTTTTTGCCAGATATTTTTGATTTGGTTGTATATAATATTTTTAGTATCTTTGTCGGATTTAATATTCCACACAGTTAGTTGATGTGGGCTATTAGCTTTTTCCTTGGCAAGTAAGTCGTCTCTTTCATTATCAGGTATTCCGCAGTGCCCGGGAATTCATGCGAAGATTAAGTTATTAATAATTTATTAGTCAAGTTGATTATTTTATTAGTTATAACATTATTGTTACTAATATTACTATGACTAGCTAGAGTGCTCATGGAGTCTGTACAAATTATGTACTTATTATTATGCAGGTTGGCACTTATTATATAGGATAGTGCTTTATATATACCTAGTGCCTCAGCTGTATATATGCTACAATTATCGGACAACTGTTCAGAAAGTTCAGTTTGTAGGAAAACTGTAGCAACACCCACCCCTTTGTCTGTTTTTGAGGCGTTGGTATATATATGTATGTGGCCTGGTAATGTGTTTTATGCATTTTTGTATGTAAGATTTGTAGCTTCTTTTTTGTTGTAAATCGCTATCGACATGTCAAACGAGTATTTTGTCGTTGTCCATGGAGGTCTTACAGTTATTTCTCTAGTCAATATATTACTTATTTCTAATTTTAGTTTTCCCTCTTTTTCTTTTATTCTTTTGTACATAGGTTGTATTAATTTTTTGTTATTGTTAAAAATATTTTCGAATCTGTTATTGAATACTGTGGAATACGTTGGTTTGTTCGGGTCGGTTGCTGTTCTTACTGCGTATTGCAACATCAGTTGATTTCTCCGATTATTAAGTGGTTGTTCTCCTGTAATATTGAGTATGCTGTTTATGGGACTACTTCTAAATGCACCGGATGCCATTCTTAGGCCAGCATTATGGATAACGTCAAGCATTGTCAGTGCTGAGTTTCTCGATGTCATATATAAGGGGGATCCGTAATCCAAAATTGATCTGATTAGTGAATTGTAAATGTTTATTAGGGTTTTAGAGTCTGCTCCCCATTCCGTATCTGAAAGTACTTTGATAACGTTCAGTCTTTTATTGGCTTTGTCTTTTAACTTTTTTATGTGTGTGGTCCAGGTTAGTTTTTCATTGAAGGTAACACCTAATATTTTTAAGTGTTTTGTGTAAGGAATTATTTTGTTGTTCATTTTTAAAGTAGGTTTTTTTAAAAAGTTTTTGTGTGAAAATATTATGAACTGGAATTTTTCTGGTGCAAATTTGAACTCTGTATTTTCGCTCCAATCGTTTAACGAGTTGGTGTATTTCTGTAATTCTTTTCCTAAAGTGTCAATACATTTGTGTAAATATTGCTGTCATCCGCATATATTGTAATTTGTCCAGGGGTGGGTATAAGTTTAGATAAGTCATTTATTGCGATTAGAAATAATTTTACACTTATGGAAGAGCCTTGGGCAATTCCGTTATTCAAGTTATATAAGGATAAATGTTGTCCATCAACAACAACTTCAAATGTTCGGTCAATTAGGAAATTATGTATGAAATATAAAATGTTACCTTTAACTCCCCAGTCCAATAAGATTGAAATAATTCGGTATCTCCATGTCATATCGTACACTTTTTGTGTATCAAAGCTTACCAGTCCCATGTATTGTTTGCATGCAATTGTTTCAAATATTTCTGTATCAATGTTTACAAGACAGTCGTAGGTCGATCTGTTTTTCCGAAATCCAAATTGTTCTTCAGCGAGAAATTTATTTTTTCTAGAAACCAGTTAAGTCGAACTCTGACTATTTTTTCGAATATTTTACTCATTGTACGTAATAGCGATATAGGCCTGTATCCTTGTACTGTTTATATTTATTGTTTCCTAACATATGATGCATTTTACCGTCTGGTTTACAATGACAGCAAAAGATGGATCAGTGTGTGCTAAAAATTATTTTTAAAATTTAAGAAAGGACAAATTCCTAAAAGACGATATATTGTAAAATAATTAACAAATAAAATTTATAATAGAGTGATAACGGATGAGAAAAATAAAATTCTTATTTAAACTTATATAAAATAGAGGATTGTCATATGCATGAAATATTTTAATCAAAATTTAATTTCTATGCAAAAAATAAAAAAATCTAAAATGAGGTTACAAAGATTAAATAAATTGAGAAAAACATAATTATGTATACACAATACATTTTGTATTACCATTAAAGTTCAATATTACATAAAATACTTCATAAACAGCAGTATATAGGTATTGTATTATGTATATTATATTATTTGAATATAATATTTATATGTAAGATTGTAAGTGATGTGCTTTTATTATAATATTATGTTTTGGATTATTTTTTTTTCTGGAAATACTTTCAGATAAAAATACTTGTACAAAAATTTTGACCAGTACTTTTTTTTTGTATGTTTGTATTACTAGTGAATTTTATTGATAAATATTGATTTCCTATTACCTGCATTATGAAATATCAGTTGATAAAAAAAAGGTTTTTAAAATAAAAAATGAAAAAAAATGTGTTAATCAATTAAATTGTTGTACTTAATAGTTTTTTTATGATTAAATTTTTTCAATAACTTTTTTATTATTAGAATGTATTTTTTAAAAGAATCAACCTTTTTAAACTTGTTCAAAATATGATTTAATCTGGCTTAAAACAAACTACTGTGCAATTTATTATGTACAATTATAGTGCAGATAAATAAATAAATAAACTTACGAAAAACAAGAATTGAAATTAATGTTTATTTTATTTTATCTCTTATTATTCAACCACGTTTTCAGAAGAATTTGAAAATGTTTTCTGAATTATTTTTATAAATTTTATACATTTATTTATTATACATAAAAATATTAATAAATAGGTGTGCTCATAATATATTTTTTTCTGTTTTAAACGACTGTTTTTTATGTTTTTTAAATCATTTGTTTTAAACTTTGTTAAAAATACACGATTTAAATAATAAAGACCCAAATAGTTCCAATTATAGTATAATAAAACATATTTTTGTATTTATCTGTTCTTTCAAATAAATAAAATACAAATAATAAATAAATCATTTATAGCAAGATAAAACACTAAAACTATATGTACATTGTGCAGTCGTACAGAACTATACAACAATGACTTCTCGCGGAATATTGGTGCTGAGGAGGGTAGGCAATATTTACACGACTTTGAGACAACTTATATTATCTATAAACCTTGCATTGTATAGGGTTCGGTAAACCTGTAATTTTTATAGAAAACATAATATGTACCACTTACAAAAATATTTAACCAGAGTTATAACTATGTTAAAAGTAAAGCTTTACTCTTAAAAGAAAACAACTAATACATTATTCTATAGATTTATAGTAATGGGTGTCCACCCTATATTATTATTATCATAATATATTTATTTTAATTAATCCTACAGTTTAAATTATTGAGCTTTTTATATATAAAACAATAATTAACAATAATTCATATTTTTCAGTTAGATTGTCACGAAGCAGAATTAAAGGCTGAAAGTGATCCTGCCGTGAGTTTTGAAGGTCTTCATAATACATTAAACAGATTTCGATCTAGGCATTAGAAAGTGTTATAATAATACCAGTTTTATACTTAGGTGTAAAATAAAATATGATAATTAAATGTAATTGTATGAAACAAATGTGTACAATTCTATCTCATTATAACAAAGAATAAATCAATTCATAATTTTTGTATATACAGTATTTTTTATTATCAACCAACAATAATGAATATAGTTGACTCAATGCTATCAATTGATTTGATAATCTGTATATATTTTTATTTATTTGGTATATTGGCTCATTAACATTAATCTCATTTTGTTTTACCTATTTTAAAAAAAGTTAAATTTTTTTTTGGATGGATCCAATTATTATTATGTTATTTTTCATTAAGATAATACAAATTTAAAGGCTACCACCTTTTAAAGATGGTATACTCGGAGGCAGGCCCGACAAACAAAGAAAAACGTCATCACTCATCATCAAAACATCTCTGTAGACTAGACCACATGCCTAGACACCTAATACTTATGGGACATGAATTTATGAGGTGAAAAGATGAGTAATGAAATGCATGAAATAGTTTGTGTAAATCCTGGAGTATTTCATTATTAATAGTATAAAAACATTTATAAAACTCACTGGGTATATAACATTGTCTGTAATAGTTTGAACAATGTATATAACTGATTAATCAAAATTTGTCATGAAATTTTCTTAACATGACCCTTCTACTTTTTTGAAATTAAACTTTTGCACCCTTCAAAATCATTTTTAAATTGTGTATGATGGCGTTCCACTATTTCTTTTACGCACACCACACTATTGATCATTTTCTACAATAACATTCACACAACCTTCACTCTCGTACATGCAAATCTCCTATAATATTTAATTTCATAAAAACCTTTAATTTTATTTTAATAATAAGCAAACTAATAATTGGACAAATTAAATTACTTAAGATATTTCATGTTTAGTATTTGGTATTTTCAGACCTTCAAGAGAACCCTTGGTAAGGTTTTCAACTTTTTTTTTATTGTGATTTATTGACTTGCCAAATTATTTACAAACGCTCATGGATATGGATTATGCGTAAAAGTTTATATAAGTTAATATTTATTAACTATATGAACCATAATGCTAATATAGCCGTAAAGTTAATACTTATATATTATGCATCTAATATAATTTATGTAGTAGTACTGAAGTAGTACCATTGATTATAAATTATTTGTATTAGCATTTATATTCAATGGTAGACGGTAGTACTTATACAACATGCATGATAAAAACCATCTAAAAAACTTGAATATGAAATTTAAATTTACCATTTGATATTGTTTGTTTTAAAATGGACATTTTGTAATTTGTAACCTCTTGTTAAGTTAATTTTATGTAGAGTACTTATAATGTATTTGCATATACTATGTACATCAACATAATACAGGGTGTGGCATAAGTCGGTTCCCCAATTAACACAGCAAATTAAATATGTATATTTTATATAGATTTATAAAAAAAATTAATTAATTATAAATTAATAACAATAATAAGCAGTTTTGCAATAACAAAACAGCGGGAACCGACTTATGCCGCACCCTATATATATATATTTTTTATAGTTATACCAAAAGAAAACAACTTTTAATTCCTTCAAATATTAAATATATATAATCCTTCAACCCCATGCATATGAATAAAATACATGTATTTTTTTTACAATGATGAAAAAAAATGGCCCAAGGCAATAAGGCCCTACGGCCAACAATATGTGATAATGTAACAAAAATACCAAATTACTTTAGATATGTCTGGATTATTCTCTACACTAATCAGTGCTGGAGAACATAGATGTGGACCACATACTATTATAAATAAATGAATAAAAGTTTCTCTCTGGATGCATGAACTCATTACAACTACATAAGTTTCTGTTACAACCCTGTTGTGTCTGCCCTTCCGTTAGTTACCAGCACATAGTTACTATTGTTTGTATTTAGATTTTTCAATTGTGTTTCTGTTCAAGTAAAATCATACTAGCTAGTATCGAGGACTAAGATATTTTAGTCCATGGCTAGTATCAATAAATATCAAAATATGAGTATATTTTGTCATTTGATACATATGCGCAGAAGCCAATATTAAAGACATGTACCAAAATATAAGAGTTACCAAATAATTATTTTTAAATTCTGTAGTAACACCTATGGAATTATGGTTTATTGTGTTGTAATTAAATGGTTTTGGAAACCAGGAACTTAGCATGCTCAGGAGTAGACTTTCTTAACTTGTTTGATCGCTTATGTTTTACAGGATTAAGTAACATATTTTTATCCTAACTTTATGTATACGTTTGTATATTTGAGTACGGAGTGTAACATAGAGACATGAAAATTAAAAGTACTTTTGTTTTAATCAATACTTAAACATTTTATTTTATAATTATCATTTATAGACGCTTGCTCTACAAGTACAGAATAAAATTCTTGACTACGCCTCATTACTGTAGGTTATTTGTAATTGGTATTGTATATTATTATTGTACATTACCTACGTCATTACTAGGGATTAGATTTCATTGTAAATACATATTTTTATTGGAATAAAATATTTTAAATCTGATAAAAATGTGTTCAATTTAGATAATTTTAATTGAAATATACCCAAATTTACTTTACATATTTTGGTATAAATACATATTTTTATACATTTGGTAAATAAGTACATATTTTGTACTATTGTGCACATGGGAGAAATAGTTAAAAACAAATTTGCCAGTATAATTGAAAAAAATCCAAACAGTTAAAATCATCAAAGATATTTTAGTTGTTAAAAATCAACAAGGAACTCTGGACATTGAATTCACTCTTTCTAATATATTAAACATGAATTATGCCCCTATTACATCTGTTGATGTAGAATGGTCTTTTAGTCAATACAAGAGTATTCTTTGATCAAACCGACCAATTTATCATTTACAAACTTTCAACAATATGTTATTTCTCATTGATTTATTCTGGAATAATACTCATGGTTATACCCACATCATTTGTATTACTTTTATTTATAAAATATTTTTTTTTTGTAATTTTCAATGCTTATGCAATTTTTCAATATTTACATATTTAAAATTTTTTTTTACATATAGTTATGTACATATTTTGAGTTTTTTTATTACAATAAAGTCTGTTCCCTTGTCATTACTAATATGAATTTTACTTGGACATTAATTTATTAATTATTTCATCTTATATTGAAAAACATGACCTGTCTTGGAGAGGAATCACCTAAATAATTTAGTTTCAAATCTATTTGTTGAATGCTTGAAGCAGTAGATTCAGTAATTTAAGATTCTGTAAGTATAGATGTCAGATTTACTTAGATTGTGGAGCTTGTGTAAAATAAAAATAAAAATAATAAAATATAAGTGGTGTTCCTGATTAGGACTTAGGCGTGGTTATCTTCAGGAAAAACGACCACAGAGTTAAAGTCTATAGGTTTAATAAATTGTGATTTATTGTTGTGAAACACATGTTCAAAGTAATTTAACTAATGCTTTTCCACAGAAACAACGTCATCTTAGTGAGCTCACACGTTTTTCTTGAATACAAATTAAAGGGATATCTAAAATGTTATCGTTCGGACGATGTACCTCATTGATAAAATTAAAATATTAATTAATTATTTCTATAATGAGTAGTAGGTATATTAGTATATTTTACTATTAACTGTATTTAGTTATTAATATTCTCTTTAATCATAGTGAGTACAACTGCAGTAAAGTGACAACAATACAACATTGTTATTAACATTGTCATTAACAAGCGTCTATGTAATATACCATAAATTTAGCATACAACTTAGTCCATCGTAGTTTTATAATAATATGTTCATGACTTCAAAATCCTACCAATATTATACCATTATCAGAGTGAAAGAGTAAAGGGAAAAGATTATAACGTAAACTACAACATTTTGAACATTTTTAGATTTTAGGAAAGTTCGCACTTAGCAATTAACATAACACTTATTGCACTCTAAGTTTAACTCCTATCATAATTCCTAATATTCACAGGTGTTGTCCATCTTTTTCGGGTTCCCACGGCGCGGGGCTCGGCGAGCCACGAGTAAAATTCGCTGGCTTGGTACACTACACGCGCCGTGGGAACGCTCTTGCTCGTCTAGGCGCGGTATAGCTCGGCTAGGCTCGTGTCTATCCGAAAATTGTCGGTCCGATGTGTCCGCGCCAAAGTAAACGAGCCGAGCAATTAGACAGCGTTCCCACGGGCATGCGGTTCGGCGAGCCGTAGTATACGTTTTTTTGTGTTTTATTTTGCAATTGGTATTATAATTTATAATCATGGAATGGTCAAATGAGGAGGTTATAGAGTTTTTGCAACTCTATGAAGCATATCCACAAATTTGGAACTCACGCCATCCGGATCATAAAAATAGGAACATAGTTCACGATGCGTGGAAAGAAATAGAAAACAACTTAAGGTTAGTTTTTTTTTTTAAGATTAATTTTTGATTTTTTATAATAATTTTGAAATAAAATATGTTTTTAAATATTGATTTTTGTATTTTTGTAATTTTAGTGTCAAAACTGATGTAACAGAAATAAAAAAATAAAAAGATTCTCTTATGGCTACTTATAGGAAACTTTTAAACAAAGTTAATAAAAGTAAGGGTACTGGAAGTGGTGCCAAAGACGTTATTCAGCCCGACTGGTTCGCCTATAATGCAATGTCATTTCTGCATGGGATTTACGTTGCAAAAAAAACAATTTCAACAGAGGTAAGTTTAATTAGTTATATTTTGTTTAATTATATTTTATTATTTGAGTACAATACGACTTTATCATACATTTTGTATGCTGCAGTAGCCAAAGGTACTCATATTATTTAACTAATATATATATATTTATTATTTTTTATACTTTTGCTATGATATATTTCAATAATTATATTTTCCTAAATACGGCCCTGTGCATGTAATTATGACTTAATATGTTAAAAATGCCAATGGCCAATGCAGGAAATATAAATATAAATATAGTAATCATTTACGTTGCTCTAGTCGCCGGTTTAGACAAGTAGTAACCGGTGTCGACATGTATTCTACCAACCATAAACCAAATGTTAATTTATTGTAGTTGTTCATAGTCTCTATATTGTTATTTTTGTTCATATAGGTATTTATGGTTTTAAATATTTTACGATATAGCTGTAAAAATAAATATGAATGACCCGAAATAAACTTCTATATCGTCTATATAATTTTAAAAGCACCATCTAAAAATTAAAGAGAAATGAATAAAAATTTAACCAATAAAATAGTTTCAATGAAATAATTATTTATGTATTTATCATAAATATTTTTAAGTTTTAGTTTGATTTAAAAAATGAATACTTCTTTCAACTTAATATGTTAAATTTATTTTATTAATGCTGTTTTTATTAGTGTATATAATAATGATAATAATAAATAAAAAACGTAAATATAAATACGTAAATACGTTAATTACAAATATGTTACATATTAAGCAATAATAATTTTATTTTAATTTATTATTTGGCGTTTTCTTGCCATTCCACTGTTCCGCTTGTCATAAAATATTCAGCTAACTGATCTCTAACCATTTTTGCTTCAAGGCCAGATTTTCTCGGTACTCTTTGTAATGGAAGCATAGATTTGGTACAATTTTGTTCGGACCTCCAAGAGCCTGGAATTACAATTCCATCATTATTTTCAGTATCGAAAATTCCAGGTGGTGTGTATATAGAATTCGATGATCTGCTTCTTCTTAAGAAATTATGCAACAATACACAAGTCATTGTTACATCTCTAACTTTTTCTGGCTCTAAAAGTATAGGTCCTCTAAATACACGGAATACTGAGGCCATAATTCCAAACACGTTCTCAACTACTCGGCGTGCTCGAGAAAGCCGGTAATTGAAAATTCTTTTGCAATTTCCATTTTCATATACTCCTGAGTAAGGTTTCATTATGTTCTTACTTAGGGCAAAAGCTTCATCTGTCACAAATAAATATGGTAATGAAACATTTGTATTAGGTAGTATTCCTTCTTGTGGTATTAATAATTCATTTGTCTCCAGTTTTTTAAAAAACGACGTGTTCCGAAGAACGCCACCATCGCTGATTCTGCCTTGACAGCCGATATCCACATAAGTAAAACCATAATTCGAGTTCACGACAGCCATAAGCACAATACTGAAAGTTCCCTTATAATTATAGTATTCAGATCCACTATTTGCAGGGCATTGGATCACTATATGTTTTCCGTCAATAGCCCCGAGGCAGTTGGGGAAATTCCATTTTTCATAAAAATCTGCTGCTATATTTTTCCAATCACTTTCATTGTTTGGCAACTGAAAAAACAATGATTGATTTTCATTATACGTTGCGTTTTTTATTTTAAAATTTTATGTAAACTGTTTTTATTATAACCATAATTAATGATCATCCCCTATACTCCTATGATCAAATCACTAATAGTTAAATTAACATATAAATGCAACTGAGTTTAATTATTCATATATGTTGACAATGGACATATAGGTATTTATATTTATATACTATTTGTAAAATGAAGAGTATACAATATATACATATATTAAACATTTTAAATATAAATACAATTAATTTACTACCTATTGATCTTTAGTAGAGTATTGTAATTTATCATTTAAATAATCAAACAAACTTAACAAACCATATATTTCATTATTTTTATCAGTTTGAAAATTTGGAGGATGACGACAACATTATTGAAAATTGTCAGTTGCACGACACAACTGAAATCTATGATCCTCAGACTCCGGATTGCAATTTTAAGAGCCCATCTCCATCATCCAGTAAAGTCAGTAAAAAAAGAAAATCAAATGATAAAGTGGAAGTGATTTCAAATTTGATTTTATTAATTATTTGTTTTTTTTTTTTAAATATTATTTAATTAAAAGGTATTATTCTAAAAAAAGATATGTTTTAAAATATAAATACTTTACCATGATTTCATTTTTCAACTCCTGATTTAACGCCCTACAAACATCTTGAATACACCGGGAAACAGTTTGACTTGAAAACTTAAACAAGTATGATAAGCTCTTAAAGCTATCTCCTGTGGCTAAGAACCTTAAGGTAACAGCTAGCCTTTCCTGAACCGGAATACACTTTCTCATATTTGTATCAGTTTTGCATATAGTTGGACCAATTTTTTGAATTAGATATTCAAAGTCTATGGCAGACATTCTACAGAAGTTTTCAAACTTGTTAGATGGCCCTCGTTTTAAATCTTCTAACAGATCCGTTGCATTGTACCTATTGTAGTATAATATATTATTAATAATATTAAGTATTATACAACTATAGTATAATATTATTTTATTTTTTTAATTTAGTATTTTCTATCAAAAACTTGTTAACTATAAGTTTAAAAATAAAAAAACTAGCTTATAAGAAATTATAAACTGTTATGTTCTTGTATGTACATTTAAAGTTACTTGTATATATATTTAAAGTTTAACTGTTAAAAAAAGATGGTCAGAAAAAACTTAACACTAAATATAAATAAATTAAACTAAAATTAAATTTAAAAAACTTAAAATTAAATATTAATTTACATAAGCAAACTTACCTCGCACAGCTTTTGTAAATGTCATGCATCCAATATCTTCTTTCCTTGCAGGATTTCGTTTTTTCTTTTTCGACTAATTTTTCTTTTAAATACTCACCGCCTACAATTACAATATACGCTGCTGCACAAGCAGCAATTTGCGTGTTATCAAAAGAACGACTCATTTCGAACTGAGACTTTTGACGTCTAAAATAATTTTGAGGAAACTCTGATCGGCTCGGATAAGCTCGTGGCTCGCCAAGTCACGCGCCGTGGGAATGCTGTTGACATTGTAGGCTCGTGATATGCCGAGCATACATGTGGGCTCGGTACAACCACCGGGCTGCGCGAAGTTCGCCGAGCCACGCGCCGTGGGAACCCGCCTTAAGTGTATGCCACAGTCACGAATTAAGATATACTGAAAATAATATATCTTAATTTGTGGCCACAGACTACAGAGTGATAATATTATGTAGTCTTGTATGCTATATTTCTAAAATTTGATAATTGATAATATTATGGTGAGATGATAAAATAAAAGCGACGGGATAGATAAGTGATAAGTATTTTTATCAATCTCGATTTTATAAGTTTTTAACCGTCGTCCACTCGTCCGATCATAGACAAGCTTCCTGCTCCGGGAATCCGGAAATCGTTTTTATTTTTCTGCCATTTTTAGTTTACAGAAAATGTTTAAAATAATTTAACTGTTTAATACTAATAATTATAAATACAATATAATTATATAATTATAATAAATTATGAAGTACATTTAATAATAAAAACAAACACATTCTGAAACAGAATCATGGCAAATCAACTTCAAGGATTGGATTCCATGAATAAAAAGATTATTTTACAAATAAACTCAGGTTAGAAGATTTTGGAAATAAGAAATTTAGCCCCCTGTCAGTTTTTTGTACCGTACAGTAATTTCTACATAGGACTGGCGATATCTTTCACATATTACGGTCTACGGTAATTAATAATAACCAACATTTTTGTATTTGTACCAGCCACAAAGTATTTGTTAGAAAACAAGTTAGTATCACAAAAACTATTGAAGTTATGTAATAACTTAATCATTAATTTATTTTTATTATGATATGCACCATTATTGTACCTATACATAGCAAACATTACTAGCAAATATAATAGATGTGTGAGCGTGAAAAAAAATGATAGCTATTAAGACAATATCATTGAACCTCTAACTAGATACTACCTACCTGTAACATGATTAAAAATTAATTTAAAAAAAAAGGAAATTCAATGTCAAAATCTGCATCAAATTAAGAAAATATAAACATTTTTTTTTCCTGTTATTTTGATAAGTAATTTTTTATTTTATACTTTTTTATACTTTTTTTACATTTTTTACTTTTGACCCCCCAAAATAACAACTAGATCCAATGATATACTTATTGTGAAACCCCTTTATAACAGAATCGTTAGGTACCAACTGATTATTCATTATAAAGGAGTTTTTATTATAGGGAGACTAAATTAATATACAAGACATAGATTATACGGGGGTGTCATTATTTCTGTTTTAAAGAGATGCCTGTCTTAGATGGTTTCTGTTAGAAGGAGGTTTTACTGTATATGTATAATGTATATAATATATTGAACATCCTTGAACATACATTAGTAAAATACATAATTTAAGATACATCATATTCATCATAAGCAATTAAATAGAAAAAAATCTGATATCTCGGTAGTCACAATAAACGTAATGAGTGATATGTAGAACTAAGGTAGTCTTAATGACTTAATAACTAACTCCAATATTACATTAGTATTAGCATGGCATAGAAATGAAAATAGTTATAGTTACCTAGAAGTAACTTATCAGTTTATCACTGAATTTCATAAAATATTTAATTTGTTAAGATCCTCTATTCAGTATACATTTCTTGACTTTGGAAAATAATTAAATAATTAGCTTAAGATATCAAAAAATAAATAAATAAAATATATTTTCACAATTAAATTTAAAAAATGGTTTGAAGAGAAAAAATTTTCATTTTTAATTAAATTTATTAAATTCATAATAATTACATTTTATATTCGTAACATACCTACGTTAAAATTATTAATATCAATGTAAATTATTTATGTTCATTATCAAATATTTATAAATATAATATATATATTAGCCTATGGATTTGGTTTGGTCAAAGGATCTATTGTAATTTATGCAACGTTGAAGGACCAAACATTACAAACAGCCATAATTCCAGTCAATAAAAATGAATTAAAATTTACTTCAGATATTATATGGTACATGGATAATGCTACATTAAAAAAGTAAAAATTTAAGATTGTATTTATTTCTACAAAATACTTTGTGTTTTCTTGTAATGGCTTATTAATATTATCTTACTTTGTCCAAGATTAAAAATGTCTAATACATCTATAAGAGTTGAGTGCTTTCGTATTCCAATCGACAAATCTAGTTCAAATGAAAAGCTTGGTTACCTTTTATTAAAAGTGAAAGGTGCACAAACTTTTAATCCAACATCCAATGATCGAGTAAGTATTACTGATTTCTAGTTTCAATGCATTAGCATATACCATTTAATAATGTATTGTTCATTAAATATCAAGAGTTGAAAATTAAATTTCAAATTTCAAAATTTTAGATCGAAAATGTATCGTACAAATTAATAGGATCAAAAAACTGTAGTTATGATCTTAATTTATCATTACGAATTGAAGATGTAAATGATAAAACACTTGGAAAATCACCTGAAAAAATTAAATACTCAAAGTTGACAAATAATAAAAATAAAAATGATGAAAATGGTTTGAAAAAAAGTAAAGTATTATATTATAACCATGTATCAACTACTTACTAAAATGTATTTTAATAGTATTACTTTTTATGTAATAATTCTTAGTCAATAGTCGATGTCATTTATTGTTAATAACATTATAAAGTTACAATCAAATCAAAAATTATATGTTATCAATATTATTGATACTATAACCATCTAGTCTTAAAATATTATTACCAGTTTAAGGCAGCTGGAAACTTGTAATATTTAAAGACTTTGTAAATAAACATTTATAATTTTTGTATTAAATATATTAGAAACTATTAAAAATATGTGCTTGGACCAATACACAGTTCATTTTTTTACCAAACCAGAAGCTTGCAGCGCTTGGTCATTTTGATTAAAAATGCATACAGTTTGCAAGGGCTTTTATTTAAATTTTATCTAATTTATCACAATATTTTCAACACATATTACATAGAACATACAAATACACAAAGTTAATTTTTTCAGAGTTAAAAGGAGTTTCGTATAATAATTTTATGATTATCAATATTATCATGTACATAACAATATTTTTATTTCAGTAAAAGACAACAACAAACATTTCGAAGAAAGCATTGAAGGAGATTTACCAAATTCTGATGTTAATAATATTATGTCAGAACAAATTGACGTTTCACCGGAAAGACATGAACACCAGTGAGTTTTGACAAAACTAATCAGGATTTTATATTATTTATTTATGTATTATATTATATAAATTATATTTTGCTTTAGAGATGAATTACATTTTGATGTTCAACAAACAACAATTGAAGAATTAGAAGAATGGAAAGACAAACAAATGATATTGTTTAATGAAAAGGTATTTTTTTATTTATATTATTTATCAAATTTAAATTATAATGTATTTTTATTGTATTTACACAGATGAAAACAAAAGAACAACAACTGTTAAAAGAATTTAACGAAAAATGGTTGAATGATAGAAAACACATTGAAGACGAACTTACCTATGCTATGTCAAAATGTAAAGCATTAGCTAAGGATTTGGATGAAATGTCTGATAAGTTAAAAGAAAGAGATGCAATTGTAACAGCTAAAGAACTAGAAGTATGATAATTGATAATTGATTTTTAATTCTATTTTCTATTGAAATAAAATATATTGACATTTTGTAGTTAGCCTGTCAAAAAAAAAATATGGATAGGAACTATATTGTACTAATGTCTTCCAATGGACAAACAAATAACGAGCTGAGTAAAAAAATTTTTGAATTGGAAAAAAAATTACATGGATCAGAAAATATTAATATGTTACTAAGAAAAGAAAATGAAAAACTGAAGTATAATAGCAATTGTGGTTTGCATGTACAAGAATTAGAAAATAAAGTTGTATGTGATTTCAATTTAAACACATTTTATGTACACATATAAATAATAAATAATTATCATGTCTAGTCAAATTTGGAGAGTAAACTTGAAGACGCTAATAAGTCTTGTATGTTCTTCAAAGAGCGATGGATAACATCTGTGAGAAAAATAAATCAAATGTATACCAAATTTCATGGAACTAAAACTGATGATCATGTACTTAACAATAAACAAAAGTAAATAATTTATTTTATTATTTAATACTTGAAAAAAATTTTTTTTTTTGATATTTCAAAGTTAAAAACTTAAATATTGACACTAGATTCTTAATCAACTAATCAATTTAAATTATCTTATTTAAGTTTTTGCATCTGTTAAAAATAAACTTAATCCTATTACTTTCAATGTTTTTCAGTATTCAAAACATATTAACTAACCAATTAGTAGAACGACAACACGATGAAGAAAAATTAAGAACACTGTTAAATGATATAGGTAAATTACGGCACGATATGACCAATACTAATTATTTGGACTTATATGAAAATTAGAATTATGTAAATAAGTAAATAATTGTGTAATGATTGTATTATATCTTAATAGATAAGTAAAATACATTTTTTAAATTATTTTTTATGGATAATCTAAATTTTAATAAAACTTGTTATGTGTACTGTAGAGTATATGTTATGTATAGAAATATTTCAAATTTTCAACTATTACTAATAAGTTATGAATAATTTATTTTAGCATAGTATTTTTGTATTAATAAGTTAGATAAGATAAATTTCAATTATAAAGTATTCCAAATACTACTTAGGGTACATTGTTAATACTATGATAATTTATTTTGTTAGTATTAGAAGCTAAATTTTAAACCCGCTATTACCCGCGCTATGGTGAAAACCACCTCACTGTTTTACATCTTGAATAAAACATATACATTTTATATTTCTACAATTGATAGTCAATATACCTATTACAAATATTATTAAAAATACTATATTAATGTTCTGAATAAATTTAAAAACTTGACCACCATGGTCATTTTTGAAAACATCAATTGCCTGCAAAGAGACTCCATATTATTCATACATTCTTATTTTTTTTAATAGTATCCATTTGATGCATTAGATAGTAACTTTTTATAACAGTTTTTACTTTATTTTATTACTAAAATTATAAATTATAAAAATTGTATGAAATAATATTTTGTTTTGATAACATTAGTAATAATGTATGAAACATTCTATTGATAATCAAAAACAAAATTGAAAAATATAAGATGGATGTCGAAAAGAACGTTATGCTACTAATGATGTAATATATTCTGGCACTACTAATGTCGCCTTAAAACTAAATTGTCAATAGTTAAATTATAACAATATTATAACTTCATTTTATATACATATTGTAAATGTTATTATCCTAACATAAATAATAGATATGGTAAAATAGTGGAAGTAATTTAATTAGTGTTATCCCTGCAATCATCTATTTTAAGATAAAAAAAATTCTAAGAATGTTGTAAATTGTCTTGTATTTTGTAATTCAATTTATTCATATAGTTATATTTACGAATACTGTGTTAAATAATAATGAAAAAAAAATGTGATACTTAAATCTGTTGCCACTACTAACTAATAGTTAACAATATTTTTTAACTACCTACCTAATATCACAATAAGTAATTTTATTTTATTTTTTTGAATGTTTTGTTTGGAAGTGTTTAAATACATTTAAGCTATTAAGAAGAGTATTTGTTTTTTTTTTTAGTTGAATTTCTATTTTAATCTTGATAATATGTGGAAGCATCTTAAACTATTTATTTTTAACTTATAGCTACACATAAGTACAAATGCAGAAACTTTGATGTGTTATATTTATATTATTCAGTGTTTTTCTGTAAATAGGTAATTATAAACAGGGCTTAACATTTATACTGAGTAACAAGGAGAAGCATAGCTAATTGATGATGTTTATCCTTCAATCCGTTTTTTACTCTTGAAATTGTTATCAATATACAATTACCAATCAAACTTTAAATCTTCTAAAAAGTAGTCTGTGAAATGTAACAATTTTGCCTGTTAACTATAATATAAAAGTACATTATGAAGTAATAACGAATGGTTAATAATGCAATTAATTTTTACTACATCAAATATACTTAGGATCAAAGTCCAAATATTTTGGCTCTTTTTGAATTAATTTTATAAACATTTAAAATTGTTGATAATTAGTTAAAAATGTACAACTGCTGGAAGTTAGAAAATAATAAAAAAAGGTTAGGTTACCTAAACAGTAAAACATTATTCATTATACAAAATAATGTTTTGAACTGAACTTTGGATGTACCTCAATGATCAAACACCAAAACAACTTTAAAATTGTAATACATTTTTCTTAACATTTCAGTCTATGAATTACAATTTATTACAACCGAAAGACGGAACCGATATACCTATGCCCATAAACTATACTTGTTCTTACTTAATTTGTACAATAAAAGATTAAATAGTGTTTACGTAAGTTATAGGCAATTATTGAAGCAATAATATTTTTTTTTTGGTCTCATGATTAAATTTTTAGACTCTTACTAACGTTACCTACCTTAAAGTGAAAAGTTATGTTTTTACTTTTTATACACTGTACATTTGTACCTACTCTTGATAGTCTTATTTTATTTATTGAACCTTATTTTGAGAATTTTTTTTCATAAATGATAGATCGAAATACCTATTAGATTTTGATATTTGTCACCTATCAAATACGGACATAGGTAAGCTATTGTTATTGGGGCCACGGCCTTTGCAGTCTGTAGGCCTCAGTGATTCTCCCACCGGTAGGTACTTGAGCCATTGAAGTTTAATGTGAAAATTTGAAGTATAAAATAAAAATTATAGGTAGATATGTAATATTTTTTAGGCAGCTCTTAGTGGCTATTGGCTATTGCTTAAAATGCAACATTTAGGTGATTTCTAATCTCTTGGCCACTGCTCTTGACCTCTGTGTTAATCGTAAATGATTATTAGTGTGAGCGGTGGACATGAAGACTATAATGTTATATAGTAAGAATCCAAATCAGCTCATTATTATTTCTAAAAAAAAACATGTACTTTAAACTTTAGTTCATATTTAGTAAAATAGGGTAATAGACCGTCTTAGAACAGACGCATCTTATTCTTTTACAATGATATAAATATATAATAATATTGAATTAAAATTTAACACATCCATAACAGTGACCCACATAGCAACCTATGAGAAATTGTGTGTACAAATGTACGATTTCAAATCATATATTATAACATATAAAAAGAACAATTATTATGAACTTCTAATTAATATAATTCTCAAATTTTTTTGATTTTGATAAATTTTGTAAAAAATCTAACTTCAGACGTTCAGAAAACATTATTATGAATTTATGCTTAACTTTTTTTATTTTCAACCAACAACAATTTGTGAGGGACCTTGTATTAAATTTATAAATATTTTAATTTTTAACGGAGAAAATATTTTTTATAGAAAATAATTTAAAAAAAACGGCAATTGAAATTCTCCTTTGTCTATAAATAGTTCCAAAATAATTAATTGAGAAATACTTTAAAAATTTTATGATGTATACATAATGCTTATAAAAACATTTGGTGAAAATTGTAGGTATCTACAGTTGTATCAAAAAAAACAATCGTTGTTGCCATAAACTGGTTTTACGTGAAAAATCTCAATTCTTCCCTTCGCTTTTGAAAGATTCTTGAAACCAGAAAAACTTTGAAGTAGAGGACCGAAGCATTCTTACTGCCCGAAAGGCTTTCATAAAGGATAGGTACGAGGTCTTGTTAGACGAAGCCTTCCGGCGAAACACGGTTCTGCAGGGGAGGGTGAAGGAGGCGGGCGCATACGGTCGTGCTTAGGTCGGTGTGAGAAGGTCGTGAAGAAGGTGGTCATCCAACCCGTGAAGAGGGCTGAGACCGAGGCCAAGGTTGCAAAAAAGGACAGGAGGGAGTTAAGAAGGCTGAGATTAAGGTAGTGGATGTGGTGCAGCCCCCAAAGGCGAAGAACCCCAAGGGGGTGCCTTCATCGAGGTGGTTGGCAAGAAAAAGAAGAGGAAAAGGAAGAAGGCCAAGGAACTGCCGGGGGTGGCCACAGTCACCGAAAAGGCGGCCAAGGTCATCGAGAGGGAGAAGGCGTGGGCTCCGGAAGAGAGAAGAGGAAACTCTAGGCTTAGGTACCTGGTCAAGGGGTCGGCGGTCCAAACTCGGTAGCTCCTCGAAGCTACCAAGGGGTGACCTGGTAGTTGGCTCAGCGATAGATTCTGCGCCGTGGCCAGCCTCAGGAAGAGGCATGGACAGGCGGTTCTCTTCGTGTCAGCGTACTTCAAGTACAGCATCCCGGCACCCATCTTTACGGATAGGTTAGGTGTTATGCTGGATAGGATCGACCAGGACGTCGTGATAGGTGCCGATGTGAACGCGCATTCGCCGCTACGGTTCAGTCAGCCGGATAACTCGGGTTCAACCCGGGGGACCCACCTCGCATTCTCGTCGCGGAGAACTTGACGGTGTTCAACCAGACAGGTCACCTCGACGCGTACGAGAGACCGGGTATGGGTGCATCAAATATAGACTCTGACGATAGGGGGATCCCTTTTGAACTCCGTTTCTGAGTGGGAAGTGCTCGATGTCACCGACAGCGACCACAAGACCATCGATTCAAGATCCACGTCAGATCAGGGTCGAAAGGACCCGTGGGAGGGAAAAGTCGCTTTAATGTTAGGAAAGCAGATTGGGACAGGTTTAAGTAGGTTCTGGCCTAGAAGGTCATCGGTGGCCCTAAGGCCATGGTGGGCGGTTGCGGACAGGTAGCGGAGTCTCTGACGCGTGCCCGGATTCCCAACTTTGTGCTCGCGCGAGGTTGGCACCTTCAGGGTAACCGCCTTGGAGACGGCTGAGTGTTTGCTGGAGAGTCTCATCCCCAGGGACAGGACTGCTCCCGTCTTAGAGAGAAAATGCGTAGGTGAGACAAGAGGTCTCGGAGGCCGAGGTTAAGAGGGCTGTCTGGAGGATGGCACTAACAAAGCTTCGGTACTGGATGGGATCAGTGCTGAGGTGCTCAGAAAGGCCTGGGGCGTAATAGACACACCGCTAATTAATGTCTTGCGAGAGTGCCTCAGGAAGTCGGAATTTTCGGACTGTTAGAAAACAGCCGAGGTCGTGATTATCAGGAAGGGAGAGAATAGGGACTCGAGTCTTCCTAAGTCATACATACCAGGTAGTCTGCTTTCGGCACCGTCAAAAGTGTTGGAGCGGCTGGTGGTGGACAGACTTGAAGAAGAAAAGGGGGGCGTTCTTTCGGCAGAGCAACATGGTTTTAGGGTCGGAAAGTCTACGATCATCGCGATCATGTAGTGCTCGGATTGGGTGGGCAACGGCGAGGGTATGGTGGTAGGTATCTTCTTGGACATCTCGGGAGCTTTTGATAACCTGAGATGGGATGTTTTGATTGGGGACTTGATGGATTTCGGGGCGTCCGACGCAACCGATAATTCAGAGCTATCTCACGGGCAGAAAGGCGGTGCTCTCGGTGGAGGGACAGACGGAATTCGGAGATCTCACCAGAGGCTGCCCTCAGGGC